CCCGACGGGAGGTGGGGAGGGCTGTAGTCCTACTATCCCCCACCCCCACCCCCTCCGTAGCGCCGCCACTGTATAAAAAAAAACAAGGCCCATATCCGCGATTGCTCCTGTATTTCACAACTTAGTAATTGTACTCTTTTCACCCCTTATTTTTTATCGTAAATTTGGCTGCGCCGATATTATTGTTCACGAAAATGATAATGTAGAAAGTTGTGCCGTAAAGATAACAAAAGTTACGAGTTGGGTTACGCTGGTCAGGATGGAAAGGGAATATTGTAAACAAGTTCCGCTCGCCATAAATCCACATTTAGCGATTACTGTACCCGATGAGTGTAGCTGGAGCCGAGATGTTGGTAGTTGCTTAATACCACGAGGTAGGGAGGTGTGGCTTCTTACAACGTCGAGAGAGGCGATTGTCAAGTTTTAAGCGCGTGGTTGGGACTTTTTGAAGGTTATGGCTACGACCTTGTAATTTCTAATGAGTACAAGGCCTGATTTAATATACTGTACAAAAAAGACAAGATCTATAAATTTTATCTATTTTGAATAAATTTATTGATGTGCTCTCTACTGCACTCTTTTCCCTTTTTGTTACATGGTAGAAATTGTGACTCAGAATTATCAGTATATTCAATGTTACACAAATAAATGATAATTACCTGATGAATAGTAACAATGATCCAACTCCACAGAACCACAAATGCTCATCAGAGCATATTCATTATAAGTATACATATATCATGAATAACTCATGAATAGTAATGAGCATATTCATTAAAATATAATTACATAATGAGCTTATTCGTGATGATGTAATTTTACTCATGAATAACCATGCTCAAACAACTTATCAGCCCTTATCAAATGAATAACTGGTCAGCTTCTAGACAAAGGTGGCCATAATGGGTGTCATCCTACCAGTTGACCTTGGGTCATATTCAGATTTATGAACAATAGAATCAATATAGCAGCAATGATTAAATACAATGGCCAATGGCTGTACACTTTTGAGTTCAAGATAACATAAGCAACAAGTTATGAATATTTATTTATAATCAAATTCATGAATAAACATTTTTCAATGACATAAATCAACTTGTAATACATAATACATAATATCGTTTGAATGAAGTTACACAAAAGATATTTTTACTAATGGTATTTTAAAATTATAACTTTAATAGAAACTATGTACTTTCAATTTTCGTTCACGTCGCGGCCCTGTTCCTAATGATCCTTTCGCCACTATGCACAGAAATCGAATTGTCAAGTTTTTAGAACTAAATTAACATGGCTTCACGGAGTATGAAATTGCTAATTGACTCAATAAGAATTTCGACACTTGGAAATTACATCAATACTTTACAAATGTATCTATTCCAAATATAGTGACAGAAAAATAAACATAACCCACTGAAAGATAAGATATACTGTACATCTGTGACCCACACACCAACTATTCAAATTTTAATATCTAATGAATAAATGTAAGCCTATTAGTGAGGTTGTTAGTTAATAAACATCAGCCATACTCATGCATATTAATGAGGTTGTAAATTAATAAACATCAGCCATACTCATGCATATTAATGAGGTTGTCAGTTAATAAACATCAGCTGTACTCATTCATATCATAAGTTTTGTTGTTTGTAAAGATTTTCTTCAATATTCATTAAAAATAAAGAACATGTTTTTTAGTTAACAAATGCTGCAAAGTGATGGTACTTACTTACTCGGAAGGGAAAATCAGGTCTTTAATTATATATATAAAAAACACATACATCATCCTCATTAATATTCACGAGTAAATTAAATATTAATTTATTTAAATGTTACAAAATATTAAATATTTTCAAACAGCTTTTGCAAGCTGCAAATTGCTTGGACCGTATTGGTTGATAGTGTACATTCAAAACTGTTGTATGCTCATATAGTCATGATGTGCTTATATAATAATATGGACATGATGTGATGTCATCATGACCATATTTAGGCACGTCCAATGTTTTTGTCAGATAATATTTGATAATCTGGACAGAGTTTAAATCTGTTGGATCTGATTTCAAATGAGACAAATCATGTGTCTTTTTGTGTCTGGAGTGAAGTGGGGATATACTATATTTCATCACGTCTGATAAACTATTGTCAGATGTCAGAGACAAACATCTGACAGTGTATGCCCAATCCTATAATCTTTAAGCATACAAATATCTCATTTGCAGCTTGCAATGGTGACATTAAGAAAACATATTCTGTTGGCCAATAAAATATACATTTAACAGAATAGTGACATTTCTTTGTCTTGTGAATGGATTGAGAAATTCTTCACAGACCAAACATTACTGGACAGTGAAAGGTCATTTGTGTCATTATAATAATTGTGTAATCATTATCAATCCTCCAAAAAGTCTTCATCATCTAGATCAACATCCTCTCCTCCCCCGGTACCATCATCATCTATATCAAAATCGTCGAGTTCAAGATCAAGATCATCCTGCTCAAGTTTTTTTGTTGGTGGCGCTGTTGTGACAGTTGGCTTAGCAGTTTCTGATTGTTCTTCTTCTGATTTTGCAGTCCCTGCAGTGGAACTCTGTCATAAGAAATAACAAGGATTCAGTTTATTAATGCATCAATAGCTTTTCAGTAAATATTAAGTTATAAGACAATAGCGCCATTGTCTTGTCATAATAAATAAAGATAGAGGGCAGTGTTAAGTGGCAATCAATTGATTAGTCAAAAATCTTACTCCAGAATAAGCACCGCTAGCAATAGCATCCTGCATCTCCTGTTCCACATCCCTATCAGCATTCAGCTATTAATAAAGAACATAAACATTATAAAAAAACATACAAATGAGGGCAGCAGATATAAAAAGATAGTTTGATATTTTAATGGCAATCAATTGTTTGAAGGCAATACTATGTATTTCCAGACACATATCTAATCTAATCTTTGTCCAAAAGGATTAACACAAGTCAAAGCATACACAATAAATAATAAACAATATAAAAACCTAAATCATCACCATCATCAAATCCACCACCACCTATTTTGTCAACACTCTTATACTCAATAGAAGGCGCCAAGTCAATGTATTACTCACCGTCACGTGAGGATAAGCACCAGCGGGAAGTTTTTTATGCGTTGTCTTTAGGAATTCCTCGACCTGTCTTGCCTCTTTCAAGCCAGTGAATAAGTTTTCATAATCGGTGGGATCGGCCAAAGCATCCGCCGCCTTCTTGTTAACTTTAGCTAGGTTTTCTTTCCAGGCTTGAACAATTCTAAAATAAACAAAAATAATAAAATTAACAAGAAATATTTCCTATAAAAAAAACGCTGCAACATCTTTAACTTATGACTGGTTTGTATTTCCAAACTTAATAAATTAATGTATACTTGCAAATGACCTATATCATCTTCATTGCATTTCTTTTATATGACACATAAACATAAACATAATAGCCTACAGGTAGAATTGGTTTACGATTGGTGTAACAATAGCCACAAATTATTTACATTGCGGTAACAGGGTTAAAACAATAAAAAAAAAAACTAAACAATATTCCAAATTAGAAATGTAGAAAGTGTGATATATGATTTGATGTAGACCTAGGCCTACCATATAGACTTTCTTTAGCACGTTTTCTTACCATTATTGTTGTTATTGTTATTATTGTTAATGATAATATTATTATTATTTTTTAATATTAAAAATAAACAAAAACAACAAAATTAAAAATGATAAAGTAACTGGACTGCTGGAGCACTAAAGTCTAGTATTCATTTTTTAACTTTTCTTAATTTAATTAACAGCAAATATCTAAAATGACTGACACCATCTAAATAAGGCTTGCCATCCCAAAGCAAGCATACTATCACTAATTCTTAAACTGAGTAATTAGCATAATAATGAGGCAGTATTGTATACTTTAGTACAGTACTGAGTAGCCGTAACACTTTTACTCATAACTTTGGCAATTGTAAGTCCATTTCCGGTATGACCCATCATTTTACAGCTTATAATGCGGAGAACATGAATATACAGTACTAAAAAGTCAATTTTCTTGTTTTGGCCACTGATTGTGGTTTTGGCATGACAAGCCTTAACTTTGTAAACTTGTCTTTCTGATGTAGTAAGTATAGACAACTAAATTAACAATAAGTACTGAGGCTGTCCACAAAAAAGTAATTTTTTTTTTCTAATTTAAAACAAATTTAACAATTACCTAAATGATATGAAATATTTCAGTGTTTGTGGACTGATTTTTATGGGGTGTTTTGCCAATATTCACAAAATCATTCTGGCTAATAACAACTGTAAACATGTAAAATACTAGATATGAATGGAAATAAATACTGTAGTTTTTATTTTTTGTTAACCAATAGTGGATCATTCTATTATTATAAAGGGGGTATTTTACCCGGTGAATTTCTTAAATATGTTAGTTAACCGAATCTACCATGTAAAGTGTTTAAATCTAAAATAACTTCTTAAAACTAACTCTGATATTCGGTTTGGAAGGTAGGTCCTCGCAAAGAAGGCTGCCTCTGGATAGCGTCCGGTACTGCACAATAAATCCAAGCATTTTTCTTTCCTAGTAATAAAATAAGAAATACACAATTACACAAGGGTGTAATCCATCACAAATATAATGTTTTACATTAATAAAATTGTATTGTCTTGTATTATTACATGTTAAATGCATTTCAAATGATATGCATCTCACTGTTAAATGCCGAGTGAATAAATAACAACAATAGACCACAAATATTCCTGAGTAGAGAGAGACAAACACAACTAAAGTGTCTTTGTTCAAGGACACAGGAGACTACTATGAGCAGAGGCGGATCCAGAGATGTCCAAAAGGGGCAGGGGGGAAATGGGCTGATCGACACAACATTACCTTCGGGGTCTGGGGGATTTTTTTTTATTAAGGCACCCGAGAAATAACGTCTGAGCCATTTTGGGCAGTTTTTTTTCTTTTTCTTTCTTTCTTTCTTTTTTTTCTTCTTTTTTTGACTTTCAAAAAAAAGGGGGATGGGTGGAAGGGGGCAGGGGCCTGCGAGCCCCCTAAATCCGCCCCTGGTGAGGGTTTCAAACAGAATGTACATTTTAAAGCTCTGTCTAGACTATCAAAGTCTATTTGATAAAAAAACTGTTGTATGGCCATATATAGTCATGATGTGCCTATATATGGTCATGATGTGATGTCATCATGACCATATTTAGGCATGTCACATGTTTTTTTGTCCAATAAAATTTGATAGTCTGGAAAGAGCTTAAAAAGTTAAAAACTCACTTTCCCTGTAGGAAGAAACCAAGGAATGCGACATTGTTTTTCTCGTTATCTGCTGCATTATCCGCAAGTTTCTCCATCATGCCCGCATCGCCTGAACAGCTAGCCAGCATGAGAAGTCCACCAAAGTCCTGCGCATTGTGCAAGCATTCCTGCGCCAGTTTAAATTCACATTTTTTTGTTGCAAGTTCTGCCAATTGCTTCCACTTGTGTTCCGACTAAATATTGAAAAAGAGAAAAAAACAAACAATTATAATATCATAGAATAGTGTAGAACTAGAAAAATGTAACCATGGAAACAACATGAATCATAACTGTCAATGGCAGTGTACTCCACTTCCTAAGTGCATTTAAAAAGTTTAGAAAAAAAAGGCAGAGGATCGCCTCCTGGTTTACTGCCCAATCCACTAGTTCCAGAGCTGCACCCAAATACATTATTTACTTAACTAGAATACTGGCCTCTTGCAGTTCCAACTGTACATTACTATGTCAAAGGTCAATACATATAAACAAACAAAGGAAACAGGCTTAGACATAGTTTAAAGTGCAACATACACATAGACCACATACTCCCATCCTGTTATTTGGGCAAATGTACGAGGTCTAAATGTCTAAACATATTAAGATTGAAATAAAACTGACAATATAAAGCATATAATTACCTGGGCTTCTGTGGCAAGGTCATGGGCCAACTTCATTTCACCTAATCCTAGTGCAAGGTCAAATTTATGCTCTGGGTCACAGGTCACAGCCAAAGCTTGTGGTTTGAAACCCTACATGAGAAAGTAAAAATTACATGGTATTATCCTAGACATATTTTTTATAAAATTAAAAATGATTGTGCAAAGAATATATGTTTTCTCTCATGTTGGCTAGAACTTGTAAAAAAGGCATGAGAAAAAAGGCATGAGAAAAAAGGCATGAGAAAAAAATAGGTTATGATTGTGGTAATTACATAACTTACAAGAGCTTAACCTGCACTAGTGGTGTGCTACATAATATAATAATAATAATTATGAAAACAACAACAAAAACATCAATATTAACAATAAAAGTAATAATATGTTTTAAATAAGATACAACTCAGGTACATATAATTCAATATTTACCTGTTTCTCAAGGAAATGTGCTACTCGTGTTCTTTGTTCTCTTGGTACGGTTGGTAGGACCTTGTCCGCTGTTTGGAAGTCACGTCTCATAACAGCAGTCTGGTACTCCAAGACAGAGAGCAACAGTGAGAAACTAACAACATTTAACTCCTTATCACCGAGGTAAAGCCTGTTGTCTTTTGGAATGTATCCGAGAAGATACATCACCCTGTAGACAAAAGAATATATTTAGTAAATATTATTTAATTACAAGTCAAAAACAAATGAAAAAGGATGTAGAGTCCAGGTTGTTGATATTTTCAACAAGCATGGTTTGGATATAACAGACATCAGGGGCAACATAATTTAAAAAGAAAGTAAAAATTTTTCATCTAATTACTAGATGGGCCCAAAGGGCATTCTTACCTGTCCAGGTGAGATATTGTGACGATCTCGCCACCAACGTAATAGTTGAGCCTATTAAGAGAGTTTGTGTAAATAAAACAGTCACCAACCCACAGACCAGTCTTCACTGTTTCCTGGATCTCACCAACAACCTTGAAAAACACGGATTGAATTTTAATCAATTCAAATAACTTATATTTTTTGATGGCAGAAAAAAATAAATAAAATTTAATAAAACCCGTAACAATACAGGTCTTTCGTCAATTAAACACCACTTTTGGGTGCTGGGGTTTCCATGGCCTTTAGCAACTTTGGTCTCTAATTATAATAATAAACATAAAAGACATTTTGTTAAGTTGGGACCACAAAATGTGGTCTTCAAATGGATTTGGTCTTTAATTGGAGGGGTCTTTAATTAGATGGAAACCGAAGATCTTATAAACACATGATAGCGTTCTCCGCGATTTACGCGTAACAAACAGAAGCGTCGGTCAAGGTTCAAAAGTTTCCCATTTAGCAAGAGGGCGCCATTCATGCGCTATTACCGAAGAGAAAAAGTAATCAGTTTTGGAAGAGGGCGTCCTATCTGTTGCCATGGATCTGAGATGGTTCCTGTTCTGCTGTT